TTGGCTCTGTGGGAAGTCCCACTAGCAAAACCCACTGTACCTTCCTGTACCTGTCAGAGCTTCCCACGGCAGTGTGACTGGGCTGGCACAGGGTCCCTGATGGTTTGCCTTACTGGAGGAGCAGGTCCTGTCACTTGTCCCTAAAACACTTCTTGCTGATACTGTCACACAGCTGGTACCATTCTGACAGTTGCCACATATACCAGCTGCCTTGCAGGTATGGGTGTACATGTGAATGCACACACGTGTGTTAGCACACATACATGAGCACATGTGCACAACCAAGATGACAAGATCGGATGTCAGTTCCCCCTGTTGGAAGTCACTGGACTGCTTAGAATTTTTTTGGTGGTTCTGTCAACAGACCAGTTTCTAGAAACTACCTCCTCTTATCTCCTCTGTCTCTTGAGACTGTCACCCTTTACATTTTTACCAGTGCCTCACTCCTGGCCAGAGGATACTTCTGATAGGAATCCTGTAGCTTGGAGTCAGCTCACAACCTGCTCACAAGACAAAGTGTGTTCCATGTTTTATCTCCTTGGACCCCTCCACCTTCACTCTCCAGGACCGCACCACACCCTCGGCTCTCCTGTCACCTGCTTCTTGGCTCCACTTTCAAAGTCTCCCTCCCTTTCAGTCCCAACTGAACATTTCATAAAACATTTTCCCACGATAATGGAATGTCAAGGATTTAAAAGGCACCTGGCACGAACACCTCAGACTTTGCATTTTTCTCCCCAAAGAACGTGTTCACGTTGTTCTTCCAGCCAGAATGTCCTCGGCACTCCACCACCCTATCTGTGCAGTTAAGACCCACTCAGACCCACCACTCATGCTGGGAAAAAGAAAATCAGACCCACGATGGCTACACCTCTCATCCCTACCCATTCTTTTAAACCACAGGGATTTCTGCTACAACATATCGTATGACAGTATTTGAAAAATATTCATGTTCTGCATCACACAGCTAACTAACAAGGCACATAGGAAAAAGAATGCTGGGGTACAGCAAGCCATACCTCCCGGCTTTGTAACTAGGACTCTAATCGAATTGCTAGTTATCCTAAAAAGTAAATAGCACAGCTTAAAAGACATGGTAACCCCTTCTCCAATAAGTTTTAAAAAACTACTCTAAATGTAGTATTTTATCAAGAAAAGAATGAGAGGGGACACGAGGGAAGTGTAGGAATGCTACGTGGCAGAGAACAACGGCAACAGGCCCAATACCTGGGAAGAACTTGCAGTAAACACCTTCTAAGAGTGTGTGTCTTGGCTAAGGCAGGAGAAAGACCTCTGGGACTTGGCACCATCTGCTGAGCTAACTATGACAGCTTGCTGTGCGTACCTGCATGGGTTGGCTCCGTCTTCAGCTCACAGAATCTGTTTTCAGTTCTGTGGGTCAGGTGAAAGAGCACATGGGAAACATCATGCATGAACTAATGCTACTTCACTTTATGTTGACATCATGCTACCTGCCAACTATCCATCAGCAAGGGTGAGTGAGAGATCACACTCTAACACAGCAGCCCAGAGGTGTCCTCTTATTCACCATATACTTGCTGGCTTACTGTTCCCATCACATCAGTAAGAAAATTAGCACCATTAAAGATGCCTTATGAAGGTCTTTGTCAGTGCTGGGGCCACAGGGAGATCCTGTCTCAAAAGCCAAAAAAAAAAAAAAAGTTACATTTTTCTGCGCATGTGCTGTTTAGTTAGTGGTGAGAGACAACCCACCAAGACATCATTTAATAAAGGCATTACCTCACACTCTACCTACACCAAATTCTAATTATTTATATGGCATGTCAGTTCTGGTATTCTCTGGCCTCCGGGAATGAAAATGTAAACGTTGTTAGTGTTGGTGTATAGGTTTGAAGTGATTATTTACCATTGCTTGTAAAAGAGAAGCAGATTCATCCTTGAAACTGTTTTTTTTTTTCACCAAAGAGTGCCTAGTCGAAGAGCTTGATTCAAAACCCTCTTGCCGCACTAAATTTGAGAGAAGATCTGAGAAGATGAGAATGGAAGAGATTGAGCAAAGCGTCCCACAATACAATAAGATTTCTGTTCTGTATGCTGGAGACTGGTCCAGGCACGGAGTGCCCTGGTTTGTATTGGCATGTGAGGACTGGCAGCGGCTCTGCCTGGGCAGGCTGTGTTTTCTATGTACGGAACTTCACCTTGCAAACCTGACTGTCCGTGTCACAGGGACCCCAGGGCCAGCAGCACTCTGACACCAACATTACAGTCTTTGGAAGCACCTGCTGGCCTGGCTTCTGGGCTGGGATTTCTGCCTTTTCTCCTAGGTATACTTGGCTAAGGTCACCAGCCCTGGTGGTGTCTGGAAGGACATATGCATGACCTCACACATGAGCAATGACTCAGGATTCCTTTGCTATGACCTCATACTCTTCAGCAGTCTGCCCACTGCACTGGAAGGCCTGTGGACAGTCTACTCTGAATTGCAGCAGGGAGGGAGGAGAGTGCCCAACAGACATGCCCAATGTGTACGGCACACCACTAATGCTATGTGATTACATCCCTGGGCAGCCCACCAGTCACTTGTGTGTGTACAGGTGCACATGCACATATGGAGCCAGAAGTTGATGTAGGGTGTGTTTCTCACTCTTCAGCTTGTTTTTTGAGACAAGGTCTCTCCCTGAAACTGAAACTCACCAATTGGGCTTGACTGGCTGGCCAGTGACCCCAGGGGCTTATCCCATTCACCAGCACTGGAATTAAACCATGTTCACTTTCAAATGGGTACTGGGGATTCAAACTCAAGTCTGCACAGCAAGTACTTTACCAACTGAGCTGTCTCCTCAGTTGCTTTTTCGAGAGTTCATTTGGAATCGTCTTTGCCACCTCCTGTAGAGGGCTTGGCTTATTTTAATTCTTGTTGGATGCATCCCCAGAGCCCACACATACAGAGGGTCCAGTGTCAAACACACTGAGTTGGCTCTGGACTGGCTTAGACTGGCTGCTGACAACCACTGATGGGGCGCATTTAAAATTTGCATGCATATATTTTCAGGAGTGAGTGTGTTGCCTGCATGGGGCCTGTGAAGTTTCAGGAGCTAGTGCTGCCTACTCTCCATCTCCTAACAGATGACTTTTCCAGCTTCATATCTCTAATCAGAAGTATTGCATGCAGGTGGGGACTCCTGGGCCTCCAGCTGTCTGGTGTAGTCTACCTTGCCTGGGGCTTCCAGACAGGGTCCATCTCACAGGTCACATGTCAAGGAACATGGTTTGCTCTGAATCGGGCCACATTTGGGGGAGAGGGGAGGGTATGTGGGCTCCAAACCCACCACTCAGCCCAGTGGCTTTGCAATAAGCAGTTACCCCTCTCCTCCACTTTCTTCATTTACAAAGTGGGCAGATCTTACCATGCTGCCTCAAGGGGTACTGTGAGGCTGAAAAGAGATGAACCCTGGAGAAGCCTGGGCAGGGCCAGCTGGGGCAAGAAGTGCTCACTGTTCAAATCTTGATCTTTATTTCCACCCACTGAGTGGAGAGGGCAGGCTCTCTTTCCCATAGCCCAGAGCAGGAAGCATTTTCACTTCTGGGGAGCTTGTTGTTTATGGAGACAGGGGAACGTTTTAAATTTTCATCCAATAAGCCTGCATATAGTGCTCATGAGTCTATAAATGGCTTATGGAGTTAACACTGGAAAGCTAGTACTTTACGTTCCATTGACTTCTCCAGGGTAAGAGTTTGAGAAACATTTAGCATGCTGATTTATCTCTAAGAAGCAAGCCTCTTGGTTTTCTTTTCCCTCTTCTTTCTTCAAAAAAGAAATTCTGACTTAAGGCATAGTGTAAGCAGCTTAACTATGCTAAACCTTGTCCCTAAGGTCAACCGACAAGCCAGTGTCTTTGGGACTCAAGCCAAGACCCCTATTCTATATTTAATGCTATGAGTCCAAGATAAAAGCTCATGAATACTGTCTAAGCAATTCCCTGTTTGTGTCAAAAGTGCTCTTATCACACCACAAACAACTAACATGCTGAGATTATAAACACCCAAGAGTAGACTTCCTCAGATATTTTAAGTGATGTCATCTGGCCCTTCTTTCATATCCGTTTTTATTATGCTCCTGTCCTTTCAAAACAGAATCTGTGCCACAGTCCAACAAAAGCCAGGAAATGTCACCCCCTGGCAGTGGCCGACCTGGGAGCAAGGGGAAACTGATAAAGTTCAAACACCTCCAGAGGAAAAGCACTGGCTCTGACACAGCAGTTTGGTCTGCCAGATTTTCGAACCCAGAGTCTTGTGTATGCCAGGCAAGCACACTACCACTGAGCTATGCTTCCAGCCTGTCAAACCCAGAAGTCTTGCTTTCCCATCGGAAAGCACATTACTGTATCTTTCTCACCAATGCTTTCTTCCTTGGAATGCCACTGAGAATATTCCCAAGTCTCTGTAGAGAGCCAGGGAGCTGAAAGCAAGTGGGCCCCCGCTCTTTGGGGTCAGGGGCAGGATCGACCGTCGATCTGAACCACAGAAACTCAACCACTTGAAGTGATGTGCAGGAGAGGCTATAGGATCAGCACAGGGAGGGGGTGACTCTGACCCCGACTTTTGCCTTTGAATTTGAGATGCACTTCTTTTCCTGCATTGTCTGGACGAAGTTGCTTTAATGATGTCAAACACATGTCCAGCTCTTTCTACCACTAGGTATGGATTATTAATCCATGGTGATGTCCTTTGGGCTTGAGCCCATCACACAGACTTCCCAACTACAGTGACACCCTGGGACAAAGCAGAGGACACAGACCTTTTTGGATAGAAGGTATAGAGAAAGCAGATGGAAGTGAGGGTCAGTTTGATGTCCTACATAGGGCTGAGGGACATCTCATAATGGCTGCAGAAATGGGCTCTGCCTCTGGGGTAGTGACATCACTGTTCCCCTCAAAGAGCAGGTTCAGCAGCGGTCTCGCCTGCCTCCTTCCTGACTTCGTCATGATTCAGCGCTTCCTTTCACCCAAAGCTCCACCCAGGGAGGAAGCCACTGCCAGGAACTGCAGCTCTCTCACGTACCATAAACGTCCAGACCGGGTGAGTCTGCTGAGTCCTCCTCCCATTTGCTGAGGTCTTTCCCTTAATGGACAATCCTTTGCTCAATAGCAACCCCCAATGCCCTAGGCAGACGCAGGAAGGGCCAGGGTCCTTTGAAGTCTGGGCTGGTGGCGCCCCTGAGATCATGTAGCAGACAGTCCAGGGAGACCTGGAGCTGGTCAGAGGATATGTGCACACATGCCAGAGGGGCTTTTAGGCAGCTTAACAGTTTAGGGTATAGGGGGACCCCCCAAGGCCTTTTTTTAATATCCTCTGTCTCTTTCCAACTAATGTGGCACAGAATGTCTTGAGACTCACAGGAGAGCTCTGCTTTTTGATGGAATTGTCCAGAAGGACTGTACTGGCTCAAGGAGTAGGGGGCGCACTTAGGGATGGTGCCACTCAAGAAACCAGAGTGTTGTGTTATAGGAGGATGCCAGGGTGTCCCGGGGGCCAAGCCCCCATTGCTTTCCCTAGAGGAGTCATAGCATGCAGCCCTGTTTCTTCACACTCCCACCAGTCCTAAGGCTCCCTGCCTGCTCCCCTCATCCTCTTTCTTTACATCTTCAGAATAAGACATCTTTGAAAGGCAGCTGTTATTTCCAGTAGTAAACTAAGTATGGTTGCTGATTTAGACGTGGCTACACTGAGTTGTATCTATAGTGTAGGCCGCCTGTGACATCTGCACACTTGGGAGCCACAGAACCCCTTTCTGCCTGCCTTCCATGCCCCGCCCAAGACTCAGCCACACTTATGGTGTCATCACAGGTCAAGATAAACCTTCCAGTCAGTATAAATCATGTTATAGGAGCTTGGGGAGCGCCCAAAAAGTTAAGTTTACACAACCTCATCCCAATCATTCTTCAATTTCTGAATTTCCCTAAACAGTTGTGAATGACCTATACTTTAGTCCCCCTAAAAGTCAGAAGGCCCCCAGCACCTCTGTTCCACCTCCTTCACTGAATGCTCCTTCCACCAAGCCTACTAAGGAACCATTATGGTTTAGGCTCCATCTAGCCATCTCCAAGCTCAAGTTCAATTTGGGGACTAAAAAATAGGAGACTATCTCCTCTTTCTCTCTCTCCCAAGGTCCTACTCTATAGCTTAGACTGGACTCAAAAATAAGTGACTATTCCCCCTGACACCCCAAGTTCCCACTCTACAGTCCAGGCTGGTCTCAAGCTTGTAATTCTCCTGCCTCAGCCTCATGAGTGCTGGGATGGTAAGCCTTTTCCTAGTGAAGATCTACTTTGGGCTCTTTTTCTCTTTGTCTTAGACTGATAGAGGAAGAGAGGGTGGTTAAGGTGGAGGACAGTGAGCACCTCATCACCTTGGCTTATTTTGTGAGAAACAGCAGCAGCAAAGGTGCCTGAGGCCCCTGCAGTACTTTGGGGGACATAAGATAATCACAGTGAGGCTGGGTGCTGTAGACACCTTAACTGACTTCCCTCAACTAAGCACCAAGTGTGTCAAATCCTGAAGACTCCCTCTCCATCTGGAAAACTTGTCACAGTAACTGCTGTAAGGACATACTGTCTCTCTCACGTCCTCTTTCAATGATCTAATTTGGTCTTTTCTGCAAACAGTGATTTCCTGCATAAAAATGTTCCCAGTTGTTTTTTTCTACTTAGAAATTAACAGCTGAATTTCCTCTGAGCTCCATCTCAAGTTCATCTGTGACAAGCGGTACCCTGAAGAGATGTTGCTAAGAAGCTCCTCATCTCTACTGATGACATTAGTGAGGCTGAAGGCTTGGGCCACAGAGCCCAAAGACGATTCAGATCTGCCAACCACAAGCCACCAATTCCTTCTAAAGTGAGTGCACTGTTCATTCTTTTTATGAGGCATACAGTTCCCAGAAACTGTCTCACAGATGCATAAGAAATCAGAATAAAACTCCAAACAAAAACCTAGCTTTAATTCAGCATGTGCTACCGGCCAGCATCCAGAAGCTGGGGCTGGGGAGGCTGGGATTAGACGGGGAAGGAGAAGCTCCTGTCTTCAGGGCACAGAAAACCAGGCACCCTTGCCCTTGCAAAATCGAGGCTTACAAGTCAGGAAAACAATGTGTTATACTTTGGACCTGAAGTGTCCCCCACAGGCTCACCTGTTGAGCACTTGGTCTATAGCTGGTGGCACTATGTAGGGAGGATGTGAAACTTTTAGGAGATAGGGCCTAGCCAGGGAAAAGTAGATGCACTAAGAGCAGGCCTTTGAAGGTCAGAACCTGGTTCCTATCCCACTTGCTTCTTCCTGTCCACTATGATGTGAACAGGCTCCCGCACCTACCCCCATTGCTATGACCTGACCTGTTCATACCACCATGATTTTCCCACCACAAGAGCCTGAAACGGTGAATCAAAATAAATCTTCCTTCCTTTATGTTGCTTCTTTCAGGTGCTGTGGCCACAGCAGCACAGAAGTAATTCATCCTCACTTACTCCTTTCCCTGGTTGCAGAATGCTGCACTCCCCCATCTCAAGTGCCAGGTCTCTGAGGTCCTCACTTCAGCTTCTCGCCCCAGGCTGGGTTTTGTTTGCAGCATGTACTGGCTGGGTGGACCCGGGGCTGGCCGGATCCCCTCCTGCTCTAGCCAAACAATCTGGTAAAGCAGCTCTGGTTCCTTAGAGCTGTTGCGGGGGGGGGGGCATTTTAGCTTTGCCCTCTCTTCTCGCCATTAGTTTTCCACGCCATCTTGCTCTTTTCCAATGCATGGTGGAAGATCCCAGCAGCACCGGGCCCTGGCTTGGCTTAGCTGATTGTCTACCCTTAAGTTTATGGACAATTTTTAAAAAATTGAGACAGGGTCTCACTAGGTAGTCCTGGCTGGTTTGGAACTTGCTGTATAGATCAGGCTGGCCTCAAACTCACAGTGATCCACCTGCTTCTGTCTCTTGAGTACTGGGATTAAAGGTGTGTGCCACGATGCCTGGTGAAGACTTTTTTTTTTGTCTAACTACGGAAACGTTTATGGAATACAAAACACATATGAAGATGCCTCAATAAGGGCTCGTAAAATTTATTTTTAAATTAGTGCAGGATAATTTAGCAACAAACAGCCCATATGGTAGTTGAGGCCTATTTGGAAGAGTTCCTGTGTAGATTTAGAACCTTGGGAAGAACAGTAACTTTGAGGCTTTGATACCATCCTGTTTACCTTAGAAGTATTTCCTTGAATGGATCACATTAAAATGTCAAAGCATCTATAAAGTATCCATGCTGGGGTCCGAACCAGGGCCTGTGCATCTTAGGCAAGTGCTCTAACATTGAGATATAGCCCCAGCTGCAATGCTCTATTTTTAACTGTGTTTGCTTTTTTTTCTAAAGCTGCTCTGAAAACTACTAGGGACACAGATGTACAAAGAGAACACATTGCAGTGATTCACTGCACATATCCCATGTACATGTGACAGGGCCAGTGTTCAATAGGTGCATTTTGAAACTTCTGTTATGACCTACAGAAGAGCCAGCGGGGAGCCCATGGAGGCATGCAGAGGCCAACGCTGCTGTCAGGCATGAAGGCCAGTGCAGCAGCTCACCATGGAACTGCCGCAGAGGGTGTGGAAGACAACTGTCCTCTGCTCAAGGCTTTGGACAGACCTGAGGCTGAAAAGCTGATGTCCCAAAACCAAGCAGTCTCAGGGTAAGGGCCCTTCTTAGACCCTTCATAGCCTGGGATGCAGACAGAAGGAGACTGGTCTTCCCTAGGACAGAGAATAGCTGCACGTGTCCTTGTCTCTGTGACACAGTACTCTGTGGGTATAATCAGGCTGACCTGACCAGTTGTTGAAGGGATCAGAAATAAAGTGGGAGAAGCCAGCCTGAGCCAGCACTGACAGCTCCGATGAGCACAGCCACCGTGCCAGTCTCCCAGGCCCGTCTCTAACGTGCAATTTGTTTTAAGGACCCCATAAAAACTTGCTTGTTCCACTTCGTTTTGATATTCACGTCCCACTTTTTTATTCATCTATTTGAATGAATAGTGCCATTATATTCAGTATTCTGAGTGTAGCGTGGATCCATTTCCCTGTATGTTCATGAAAGATCGACTATGCCTGAGACACACAATTGGACATATTATCAAAGAGAGCCATTAGAATATTTTCCAGGAAAAGAGGAAATGGTCAACTCTTAATTCTCTGCATTAATATTCCAGAGCTGAGAGAAAATAATTCAGAATAGCCTGGAAGAAAAAAGTTAATCAAAAAGAAAAAAATACCCCCAAACTGTCTGGGAACATACACAGATGCAAACAGCTCCAGGCAGACAGGAAGAGGAGATACAGCCTAGTGACCACTGAGTGACCAGCTGAGGGCGGCTGCTTCATTGCTCCGGGAAGCAAAGCAAAATCCAATAGAAGCAGGCTTTGGTGGTGACCTCTGAACCTTGTTGAAGCTACCTCTTTCCTATCCTTACTTCATACAAATGTGATTAAGATATGAAAAAGTACCTGTGAAGTAGTTTAAAGTCCTCAGAAGAAAGGTATACAATAAAACTGACCTAAGTCCCAGCCCTGTGGAGGCAGAGGCAGGAGAATCACAAGTTTAAAGCCAGTCCAGACCACATAGTGAAAAGCTGTCTCAAAAGACAAAAATTCATCCTCAGATTTTGTTTTCCTCAAGAGTGGGTCACCCTCTTAGAGATCGGTACCAAAGCCCTGACCGTTGCCATGGGGGCAACCCAGAGTGCACACTATGGGATAGAGCCAATAGGTCATCCATCACCTGAGGCACCAGAGAACTCTAAGAATTCCAGAAGGAGAACTCAAGAGTGGCTTGCATGAGGAGAGCAGGAAGGTGGCTGCTCCCTGTGAGGGGATATCAGCAGGCCTGAGTGCCTACTGGCCAGTGCTGACCTCAGGATCAGTTCACAACAGCACTACAGCTCCCAAAGCATGAGAAACCCAGGGGGCAAATAGCAGGGACACGGGCAGAGACTCTGCATCTGCAGAGGGCACAGGCCAGGGGTCAGGTTCAGCTGGGCTGGGGCTGCCTTCCTGCTCTGTCACCCGAAGCTTGGCCTAAGCCCTGGGCATGCCGAGCCACTGAGGGGCCTGGTCCCAGCACAGTGAGAGCAGAAGGCCATGGTGCCTTCCAAGAATACAGAGAATGAATTTTACTAATAAGAAACAAATATCAGGGGCTGGAGAGATGGCTCAGTGGTTAAGAACACTGGCTGTTCTTGCAAAAGACCTGGGTTCAAATCCCAGCACCCACACGGCAGCTAACAACTGTCTATAACTCCAGTTCCAGGGGACCCGACAGCCTCTTCTGTCCTCCGAGGACATTGCACAACATGGGTGCACTTACCTACATGCAGACAATACAGGCATACACATAAAATAAAAAATAATAAATAAATTTTTTTTTTTAAAAGAAGCAAATCAGTTTCTGGGTTCTGTGAAGTATACTTTTGCCTAGCGGGAAGGTAAGACAAGGTGAGGCAGGGTGAGGGAGGGTGGTATTCACAAGTGGTGTCTACAGTCAGCATCAGGGACCTTCCCAGGGCACAGGTCAGGAACTTCAGGGTGATTTAGGGGTACTATGGGACTCTCAGGAATGGCTTACCCTAGTGGGACTCACATATCCTAGGAGCAAGCCTGAAGGCCCTGTAAGACTTCAGCAGGCTACCACGCCTCCCACATTTGGAGCTGACCTTTACAGCTGCCATTGGATTTAAGCCTTCTAGAAATATTGTGGATTTAGGTTGTGAAGACCTCCAACTGAGCTTGGCAGTGGGCTCCACTGTTCCCAAAATCCAGCACACACTTGAACTACGGTTAACAACAGAAATAAACTATTCACTCAGAAAGCTAGCTAATAAGGGAAGGACTCCCTGGTGACTTTTCAAAATCAAACTTTTTTTTGGTCACCCTGTAGCCCCAGCTGGCCTGAAACTCATTATGTAGATCAGGCTGGCCTTGAATTCACAGAGATCCACCTGCCTCTGCCTCCTGAATTCTGGGATTAGAGGCATGCACCACCACACCCGGCCTCAAAATCAAACTTTTAAGTAGAACAAAATATAGCATGGACAAGAAAATTATTCCTCTTCTTAAAAGTTAGCATTAAAACTGCATAAGTCTGTATTTGTGTGAGCCCAGTTCTTGATTTCTTTCAATCATGACTGCTTTGGGGGGACCACCATAAGCCACAGTCAACACTCAAGTTGAGGGGGACAAAAGAAGAAGGAATGTGCTTTGTAAGAAAGTACCCCAAGAAGTAGTGGCTGTATTCTTTATCACAGCAGTGGAGAAACATTACTTTGTGTTGGTGTCAATATTATTCTGTTCCCAGCTTATGTCTCCCCCTGCATTTGAGTCTCTATCCCAACTTAGAGATGGGAAGACTTGGGGAAATGTTTCCCATACTACTTTCTAGTTGAAGAGAATTCAGAAAGCCTCAGTTCTGAAAATAATTCTAATGTCTACTTCCAAGCCTATTACTAAGGCCTACATAGCATGTACCTTATTTAATATTGATAAGGTGCTGTAGACCATGTAATAAGACAAGAAAATGAAGAGCACAAGAGCTAAAATGGAGGGGATAAAACTGTCACCATTTGTAGGTACCTGATTTCATATAAAGAAAACACAGCAGAGTCTAGGGTAAAACTCTTAATAGGGAGTGATTTGGGAGAAAGCAGTAACCACACAAAAAGATTCCCAAGTCAAGCTACATTAACATCGAGCAGTTAGGACTGGCAAGATGGCTCAGTGGGTAAAGGCACTTGCTGCCAATCATGACGGGTTTGAGTTAGATACCTGGGACCCACATGATAGAAGGAGAGAATCAACTCTCAAAAGTTGGCTCCACACCATGGTACAGACACATATGTGCACATGCCCACATAATAAATAAAATGTAATAAGAATTGAGGCATTAGCTTATCTAAGGACATCATTAAGGGAGAGAAAATGCCAGCTACAGAGGTATTTTCAATACATGTAACTACACAGCGTTTGTGTTCAGAACAGTGAGCTCCCAGAGCACAGGGAGGAATGGGTCTGGGAAATGAACACAGTGGGAGTAGCCAAACAGCCAAGATTTACACACAAATATGCCTGGCCTCATTAATAATCTGAGAAATACAAATATTGTGCACAAATATGAGATTCCAGATTCTTCTGTTGGTTGTTTTGAATTAGTTTTTGGAGAGCTGCCCCATTCCTCTACTGCCCTTGGGCTTAGGAACTTGACTATAGTTATGAATGATTTGGGGTCTGTGAGCAGCCTCTCAACCAACCATGATGCTATCAGGGTGGGTGAATGTCCCTCACCCTTGCCACTATAGCATTCCAAGGGGATCAAGACAGCCATGGACAAAGTCCCTGTCAAGACTCTCTGTGGTGTATTTGACCACAAGGTGAACAAACAGGAAAACAAAGAAGCCTCCACTCTGCAACATTTTCCAACAACATGGAAATCTCAACATGAGAAACATGGAAAACTGGTGCAGAAAAGCATCATGCAGATTGGGGGAGACTAATCTATCCCTCATGCTTGCTCTGCCATGGTGTTGAAGATGGGTATCCTGGAGTTGGGGATGCTCCAGACAGCATTACCTGTCCTGATGTCAGTGGCTTTCCCTTCACTGTGGCCTGGCATTGGCCTGACATTTTACTACTATACTTTAGTTCCAGCATAAATTGATCTCTGGAGGACAGAAAAGGCACTGAAATCTTTCTAGAAGAAAATAATGTCAGTAACTTTCCCTTTAAAAAAAAAAAAAGCTGCATGGAAATACATGACTGACCCCTAGAGAATTTGAACACACAGCATTTATTTAAACAGCATTTCTCTAGGAGCGATTACAGGCAGGGGTCAGAAAGATGTTAGACACACCCAGAGGAATGTGCAGGGAAAGGCTCCTAACCAGGCCTGTGGCCTGATTACTAAGCTATTTCGAGAAGAGTCAGTCAGCCAAACTAGGTCAAAACCTGCAACCCCTTGGGAATGGCTGGAGTGGAAGCTGCCTGAGTTTAGCAGTAGGCATTTTAGCAGCTCCCTCCTTCCCAGGAGAAGGTTAAGCTCTCTTAAATGTAGGTACCTGCCTGGGAAAGCACTGGGCCCTCTGGATCAAAAGTGGTGGGACAGCAGCTTGGAGCAGTGATTTTGAAAGGGCTCCTGGACACTGAGGAAACAAAGTCAACCATACACTTGGCTTTGAACCACAAGTGGCTTCCAGAAACAGTGGCCTGAGGCAATTTCGTCCTCTTCTCTGAGCTGCCTAGATGATGTGGATAAGCAGCTGGGGGTTCAATAGACTTCAGGGGATTTGCCTCAATCAGACTGACATGCCCTTGTGCTGGATGGTCTCCTACTCCTAGCCCCATCTCCCAGCTCATTCCAACCTGCCACCCACCTACACAATGAAGCTACCCAAGGAAAGTGTCCCAGGACTGCAGTATCTTTCCACACTTGCCCAGTAACTTCACCCCTCTGAATCCCTGACACGTCAGCCGTCTGCTTAGTGCCCGTTATAATGCTGAAAATTCCTTTATTTAGCCTGCTTGGGTGAAGTCATGCAGCTGTAAGAGTGACTTTCAAAACAAAATCAAGTTCCATTCCTAGTTAAAGGGGTCACAGAAAGCCTTAAAATCTTCAGCATTTAAGTTTCCCACCCATTACATTTCATTAGAAAATTGTGCCATACTTCCAAATTTTAGAGAGAGTGAAAAACAAAATCCATAGTGTCCACTTGGCAACTCAAAGCTATATACATACTGAATCTGTCACATCAGCTTTTGTTTTTAAAAGACAACAAGAGGCTGGGGAGATGGTCCAGCCAGTAAAAGTTCTTGCCATATAAACGTCAGGACCTGAGTTCGGATTCCCTAGGACCTAAGTAAATGCTGGGCCTGGTGATGCATATCTGTAATTCTAGCACTGAGAAGGCAGCTCCAGATGGCACTCCACAGCTCACTGGCCAGCCAGTCTAGGTAACTGATGCAGTGAGATACCTTGTTTCAAAAAATATGGTGCAGGAAAAATCAAGGAAGATACTCAATATTGACCTATGACCTCCCTATGCAAACAAATACATGTGTATCCTGGAACCATGCATGTGGATGCACACACACACAAGATTAAAATGATGACAAGCTGACTTCATAATAACATTTTGCCCCTTTGCTGTGTGCATTTTTTTCTTCCTACCAGGACCATGAAGTACAAACATCTTATTGTCTTTTTGTGATCTTAATATTCCTCCATCTCTTTTAGGAGGTGACTAAAAATAACAAGTGAGTATGCACAAAAGTGCGTCACACAGAGCTCCATGAAGCACGTCACACAGAGCTCCGTGAAGCATGTCACACAGAGCTCCGTGAAGCACGCATAATGTGCTTGGGAGAACAACTTCAGGCAGAAGAGGGTCAAAGTCTCAACACAAGCTCTTCACAAACCAGAGGCATCTGGTATGGTCAATACTTCTGTCTCCTTTTCTTCATCTGTAAGTTGGGATGCTTCCCCCATCGCATCATTTCCACCTCCACAATCTCCAAACTCACGAGTTATAGTATACTTTCCTTTACAATGCTGACTCAGGGTGATGGCACATTTAGAATATAAGAATAAGTATGGTAGGGTTTTATATTAATTTAAACTATCTATATTTTAAAAGATTTTCATTTAAAAGCTCTAATACCCCAAGGATAAAAGAAGTTAAGTAATATGTTTAGTAGTCTAAACTTCTATATTTAATTTACTCATACATTTTGTTGTGGATTGGATTTTTCCTATTTCTCCAAGTGGTTATAAGCAGTAAACACAATGTGCAAAACAGAAGAAGAATTCATTTTTTTGGCATTATATAGGATCTCAAAAACAACAAGAAAAAACCCCCAGGAACTTTGTTGCACAGATTAGTCCTACCAAGATCTCTAAGTTTTGGCTAGGCAAATGTTCTGGTCATCATTTCCAAAACAAGCCTTTAGAAACAGTGAATCATGCAATTTGTCCCCCAAATGACTAATTTATAAAATGATCTAATTGGAGAAATTACATGACAGCATTTGTTTCTCAAAGCAGTATAGACCAGGGCTTGGGGTCTCAGTTCTGTCAGGCTCTGGCTGTGTGTTCTAGCAGGTTCTCTAGCTCTCTAGTCCTCAACTTTAAGAAACATTTGGATTAGTCAATATTTAGATCCAATCTGACACTAAGATGTTATACCTAGGAAGATCCCATCACAGAAAACATCCTTATTTTTTTGGTATTGTACA